CCCTTATTTTTCATGGTTATTCACTGTGAGAGGGAAATAGGGATAGTATTGCATACCTGAATCAAGATGAGACTTGAGAGTGAGATGAGAGCAATTTCTTTTGGAGTTTTAGATGTCCGGTGTCTTGCGTCTTGTTCCAATAAGGTATTTCAACGCAAGACAGAGGGTAGAAGCCACTCCCGTGCCTATTCAAGCCTAAAGTTGTAGTTCTTCCAACTTCTCTTTTTATTTATGATGAAATTTGATTGTCTTCACTTTGAATATATGCTGATTTGTCGACATTTGGATGAAAACTTATTTTTTTGTTTTTTAAATGACATAGGCGATATTTACCGAAATGGTCGAAATATCGACCGACATTTTGTATTTTTTTAATTCAAGTGAGAGTTCATGTCGGTATGTCTCGACACCGACATATGTCAAGCAACATTAGCGAAATGTCGCGACATTTTAAACCATGTTGAAGATGAAGTGCTAGCCACCATTGACCAGTTCCTCCAGAAGTCATCAAAGGAGAAAGACTGGGATGAAGAGGTTGTTCTCAACTAGTGTATTGCCCTTAAGAATATGCAATCCTTCAACTCAGAAAGGCTTCCCTCCTTATTGTGAAAGATTCTAGTGTTCCCTTCCTCCCAAATAGTACAAAGGGAAGCTGCCCTAATGCATCTCCACATTAATCTTCCTCGTTTTGATTGATCATCAAGGACTGAGGGTTCAAACAAATGAGAGACTTCCACAGGCAGCAACCACCTGCAACCAAAGAGGGCAAAAATCCAACCCCAAATAGTTGTAGCAACAGGGCAAGATAAGAACAGATGGAAACAGAGGATCCATTGGATTTGCAAAGAGAACACCAGTTTGGGGACAAGCAGAAGAAAGGCCTTTTCTTCTGCACCTTGTCCAAAGTATTAACCTTCCCAAGGAACACTTCCCACCAAAAAACAGAGACCTTTGGGGGAATGGGCTTCCTGGATCACTATAGTTGAGGTCTCTTAAATCATCCCTAGAGACAAATATATCATGAAGGTTCAGTGTCCATTTTCTAATCTAGGCACATCTTGTTGATGACTCATCATATTTCACAGAACCCCTAGACCAGCACCATTAAATTGAACTTTGATTGTTGCATCCCAAGGCTGAGGCGTTCAGTTATTCTTGGTCATAGCAGCATGATTGTTCTGCCAGAACCACCTAAGCTTTATGGTCCTGTTGGAGATGGAGATGCTTTCAGTAGCATGGGTTCCATAGGTGGCAATAATGTACTGGGAAGATGAAGATGCATTCAGTTTGAACAACTTGGGCATCCAATCTGACAAGTTGACTTGCATGAGTGCTGACGTTGGAAAATGAGCTAGCTGTCTTTAATTCCAATACCAATGAATCTGATCTCCAACTCCAAAGAGGACCTTTTTTTTATAAGCGACAATAAGTTTTAATTGTAAACAGAGGGTATATAATACTGTCTACTACCTCTCCCCATCAGCCATGCCATTAGCCCACCTTTGTAACCATTGGAAAGCCAAGAGCTCCATCTTTATGGAGCACAGATCACCCAACTCATAGTGAGCCCGAAGGCATTGCCCTTACCAACTTCATCTTTAAACACTCTTCCCACTTTTTGAACTTCCAAGAGCTCCAAAGCTGCTACAATCAAAATTGAACTTTTTGAAACCTCTATCAGGTGGTGCCCATCTCTCTTTAGCCACAACCTTTTTAGAGGAAGTTCCATTAAATTCTCTCCATTTTCTAATAATATCATCTGTTGAGAAAGCTATTAAGAAATACAACAATTTGATCCAATGTACCACCCTAACTGTGATACGATCAATCTTTTTTTTAAAATAAATAAAGAAAAAAATATTGCTTAAAAACAAGGTACAATAGGCCCAGGTAACAATGTATTACCACTAAAAAATCAACTAAAATTCAAAGTACAGCAGAAACCCAAACTGAAATCTTCTTTTCAGAGAATTTAAATTCTGGGGGATTAAAATCCAATCTAAGAGCTTTGAACAGATGATTGCCCCTATCCTTTCTTTGCTCTTCATCTTCCCTTCAAAAATTCTTTTATTGCTTAAAAGGAATGCAGCTCCACAGGATTTTGCTTTAATGTCCCGGGAATTTGAGAATAAACAGAAGAACATTGGAAGGATGATAGCTATGGTTGAAAATTTGGTGTCCGATTGGATTCAGATGCATCCAGAATTTCATCAGACTAACAGAGCAGAGTTGGGAGAGAACTTTTGGAATTTTCTTGAGCTGCAGACTTGTAATCTTGATCGGTTCCTTGTTTCTTAATTTGTCTCTTGTAGTGTTGGCTGTATGAGTTAAGGCTGTGGTTGGGCGCTATCTTGACCCCCCCCCCCAGATTGTATGAATCCTTTTTCTTTTAATGAAACCTTTTATTCTGATTCTTCAAAAAAAAAAAACTGTTGGCCATAATTCAAAGATCTTGAAGACCCATTAGGAGACTTCCGTCCACTCTGAAAAGTGGAAGAAATAGACCTAAATTCCTTTCACATAACTGCAGTTAACCAGCAAATGAAGAATATGCTCTTCCTCTTAAAGACATAAAACACATCTGTTTGGCAAATAAAATCCTCTCTTCTTCAACTTGTTTTGAGTGAGAATGTTGTCCACTGATACTAACCATACAAAAGCCTCCACTCTTGGGGGGAATTGGCTTCCCCCGAATTCCTTTTACTGAAGAGGCAGGAGAATGGAATCAATGGATTTCAAAAAGATACTCATTTTGGTACAAAGAAACAAAGTACAACGAAGGAAAAGATCCTTAAGAGAGGAACCAATCCAAACATCCTCCCAGAAAATGACTAAATCCCTAGAACAGACATCATATCTGATGAAACAGAGAAAATGGCAAAGGATTCCATGGATGGCCTTCCAAAGAGAAGCCAGAGTAGCCCGATGTGATACACCTGCATCTTAGCCAGTTCTTAACCCACCATGTATGCTGGCCACAACCTCATGCCACAATAACTCCCTCTCCAACGGCCATTTCCAAAACCATTTCATTAGCAAAGCCATATTCTTCTTTTCTACATTCACCTTCTTGAGTACTTTTGCATACTATCTCCCATATAACTAAATAATCTTCCCTTCACTGGATGAAGGCCCCTTGATGTTGACTAATTATGGAAGGAAGAACCACTATAATTAGTAAGCTGCTGGTGGAAGGAGACTCTCAATTGACTGTTGGTTGGTTGCAGAAGAAAGAATCTAGCCTGTGGAAGTTCTCAAATGARAGAAAGAAAATCAAGCAGCTAACTCAGAATATGATTGTAAGGGTTCAATGGGCCAAGAGGAGCACTAATTCCATGRYTGACACCYTGGCTAAACAGGGGGTGGGAAGATCTAATTTCTTTTGGGCTATATTGTAATAGGTGTTTTCAGTTCTGTAAGTGAGGGTTAAGATGTCTTACCCCTCCAATCTGGTTGTAATTTCCATATATTTTTAATAAAACTACTGTTATTGATCAAAAAAAAAGAACCACTATAAATCTTAGGGATAGAACATTGACTATTATTTTGTAGATACTAGTCATTAATTGATTGGTCTAAAGTCCTTTGGGTGACTAGCATCAAGCTTCTTTAGGATCAAAGTTAGGAAGGTTGCATTAATCTTTGGATTGATGACATGCTTCTTTACAAAATCATTGAAATGGCTCTATCTCTGCATTTTTCCTTTTCTTTGCCACACCAATTAGTACAAAAGGATCTTTTTTTTCACTCTAGAGAGGACTTTTGAATGATACAGCTCCTAGTATAGCTTCTTCATCCTTTATCGTATTTCTTTCCTTTTCTCTCTTCCATGGCATTGTCCATTTCATTTAAAAGAATTCTTTTGCAAGGCTTGTCTTCATTATAGTTACTTTTTCTTTAGTCATAGAACCAAAGAAAAAACAAATGATGCAAGAAGAATTAGCACACAGGAGTTCTAAATCCTCTATCATTCATTAAATGTTAGTTCCTGTATGAGTAGTCAACTTTAATGGTTGATCCTCTTTCGGTCTTCAGCAAAGTCCTTTTGACCTTTGTTATGTACATGTACATACATGTATAGAAGGAGGGGCTTATGAAGATGGAAGAAAAAGTGACAACTAATGAAAAGGCTAAAAGGACCCAAAGAATCATGCCTAATATTATATATTACATTAAAAAAAGATGAAACAAAGTCAAACATAAGACCATGCTTAATATAGATTTTTTTCTGTACATAGAAAATGAAAAATTAGGAATACCTGTTGAATTGTGCACCGCTTTACAATTCTGATCCCTATACAGAAGATGCGAGCATCACATCCTTGTAAAGAAATCTTATTTAAACCCTCCCTAGTAAAAGTTTTGATCTGACAAGGAAACATAGAACTTAAGAACATAATTAAATGAGCAAAACACAATAACAATGTAAGTAATGAATTGGTATATGACATAAATTTGTAGCACAGATATCAGCACCACCAAGTCATGGTACAAGAGAGAGACTCACAACTGGACCATCATCACGACCATTAGCTCCTAGCAATTGCGAGCCAGGTCTATTAGTTGTGCGGACTGGAATACCTGCAGACCAATAATTTTCATTTTAAGTAAAAGAAAATAAGAATATCACCGAGATAAGGTGGATATTCAGAATTATGAAGATCATTACTAGAGAATATCCCTTTTTCATTTTATCAGTGGGAAAACATTCATCTGAACAAAAGCAGATCCATATTATAGGGATGGAACTAGGTTTCTCTACAGGAGGCCAGGGATCATCTTGGATACAGCCCAATCTGTATACTCAGATTAGCTACAATCTACCCAATATCATTAAGATGCAACTCTTCATTTCTTGATATCCAGGACGTGGATACAGGATTTAATGGCTTTATAAATTGCTTAAACATCTACTTCATTGATCAAAATATATAATTTAGCCATGCCAAATTTAATTAAACTTCTAGATAAAAAGATTTTTATGGCATAACTAATTCTAGCATATATAGATTTCTACAGTATAAGTAGTCAAAATATACTGGTTTACAACTTCACATACTTGAAAATGTCAGTGATATAACATTTTGTGAAACTCCTAGGTCCCAAAGTCCCAACAGAACACTAAAACATGAAATAAATAGAAACTAAGCTGGCTAACCCAACACAAATACCACAATAGAAAAATTATTTACTGTAGCCTGCAATACAGACACCAAACAAAAACCTAGGCAACATAACCATCAATACAAACAAATCATGACAAAAAATGACATAAAACATAATTCTCAATACAGGATGTGTAAAGGGTACTCAAGAATCTTACGGAGAATAGATGCCAGAGAGAGAGAGGTCAGTAAGGTGCTAAGCAGAGGCTGGATGACAGTGTAGCACATTGTTTCCAAGGAAACACCTAGGCAATGGTTTTTTCTATTTGATTTTAGTTTGTTTCTGTGTTTTTAATGAGTTATATTGTTTCTCTAATTCATGTAGCAACTAGAAAACATTAAAACCAACATAACAGAATCGAAAATTAAATGTAGAATCCCATAGCCTATGAAAATAGAAAATGGAAATAAAATTAGCAAAGCAAATTATTCACATTAATTGTTCGAACCATAAGAATGCGAAGGAAACCTGAAACAAAATGCATATTCTACATGTTTAGGAAAACCATTAGTGATGTAAACAATTAAAACAAAATATACATACCATTGACCTGTAGATCTGAATATTGAGGCCACTGCATTCTAAATGGAACCTTATCATTGAGAAGCATACACCATGCCTGAATTTACAAAAATGTCATCACATGTAAATTATCATTGGTGCATGACCTGAGTTCCACAATAAACATCAAACTTCAAAGCACACTTAACATAGTAAATAGTATAGCACCAACCTGCACGTCATGGTCTGGTTTTAGTAACATATCTCTGTCAGCTCTTGTCAGTTGAAATGATCTTTCCACATTCTGTACTGGGTTTGTGCTGCAAGATATTGCAAATAAAGGTGACATAAGAAATATATAATGATTTTGAAACTGTGAATGTACAAAATGTTCAAAGGGTCAGAAATGGTGGTGTGTAGTTGTCTAAAGGTTCAAGAAAGGTTGGAAACTTCCAAAAACGGTGGTGTGAGATTGTTGGAAAAATTGAGGAACTTGATGGCTTTGAAGCAAAAAAAAAAAAAGTTTAAGGAAGAAAGAGGAGAAACATGGAGGCTAAATCAGGAATTGGAGGAGATTCTGAGAAAAGAAGAGATAAATTGGAGACAGAAATCAAGGTGTGGGTGGCTAAAGGAAGGGGATGGTAAGTTTTTTCATTCTTTGTCAAATAGTAGGAAAAGGAAGAATTTCATTTCTAAGTTGGGTGGAATGGACAAATGTTGACCTAGGAGGAGGATATTGCACAAACATTTGTAAACCAAGAATGATGTTGCACAAAGATTTGAGACCCAAGAAATCAAAGATACTGTTTTTTTCTATGGAGAGATCCAAAGCTCCAAGTCCAGATGGATTCATGATTGCTTTTTTTTAGGATTGTTGGGAAATTATTGAAGCCGACTTGATGGAGATCTTTGAGGAGTTTTAAGTCCTCCCTTCTTTGATATCTCCAAATCAAGAGGCTTTTGCTTTTGGAAGGCAAATAATTGACCAAATTCTAATTGCTAATGAATGTGTGGAGTATAGGGAAAAGGAAAGGGGCTGATTTGTAAACTGGATTTGGAGAAAGCTTATGACACGGTGGATTGGAGCCTACTCCAGGTGATTTGAAGCTGCAAAGGTTTTGGGAAAAGATGGTGTAATTGGATAAAGGGTTGCATTTCCTCCAATCATTATTCCATTTTGGTGAACAGTGTAGCTAGAGATTTCTTTCCTGCTAGGAGGGGCCTCAGATAGGGACATCCTCTCTCTCCTTTCCTTTTAACATTAGTAACTGATCTCTTGAATGATCTGATAGCCAAGGCTGATGTAGAAAATAGGATTAAAGGCTGGAGAGTTGGGAGGGAAGGAGTGTTTGTTACACACTTGCAATTTGCAAATGACCCCATATTGTTTTGCCAAGGGGGAAAGGGAGGAACTAGTAAACTTGAAGATGCTAGTGACACATTTTGAGAGAATCTCTAACCTCAAAGTTAGTTGGGGTAGGAGTTGTGTGGCAGGTTTAAATAGAGGGAGAGATGAAGTACAAGACTTTGCTAGCCTGCTAGGTTGTGAGGTAGGGGAGTGGAGCTTTTGGGAGGGAGCCCAAATTTTGAGAGCTTTTGGTAACCAGTCGTAGAAAGATTCTCTAAGAAGCTTGTAGGTTGGAAAAGAAATTACATTTCTTTGGGTGGGAGGATTACTCTAATCAAGTCAACACTTGCAAATTTGCTAGTGTGCTTCCTCTCAATCTTTAATATTCCTACTAAAGTGGCTAATCAACTAGAAAAGATAATGAGGGACTTTCTTTGAGAACCGGGTGATACAATGAAAGAACATTTGGTAAAGTGGGAGGTGGTTTCAAGGAGTAAGGACAAAGGGACTAGGCATTGGTAATACTAAGATCAGACCAAGGAATGTAGCTTTGCTAGGAAAATGAATTAGAGGTTGCCATTGGAACAAGATAGACTTTGGCATAAAGTGATCGTGAGTATCCATGGAATGCATCTTGTCGATACGCTATGACTAGCACATGTGTATCAGTTCTTTACGATATCGATACGATACATGAAACATCCGATACGAGGCGTATTGTATTGAAATTTTAAACCTTGTCTAGAGGTTAGGCTAGGGTCAGGGGATAAGAAAGAAGAGGGAAGTCATGCGGGTGAGAATAGTCTCCTTTTGTCTCAACAAGCTGATAAAAAAAGGAGGGGTTTTTCTTTTGGGGAGGTGAAGAGTTCGCTATAAGAGCTTCCGAAGTATTTGAAAAGAGTAAAAAGGAAGAGAGAGAGAGAGAGAAGAAGATATGATGGAAACAAGATTTAGTTTGGGATGAGGATGATGATGGATGTGACGAGGTGTTTGAACTTGAAGACTATACAATCTTTGAAAAGGGGAGTTCCCTGTTTTCTTTTTGTTAGCTTTTGTGTCTTTGTAATCTCCTGTTACGGTATTTGGTTCGGGTGTAATCTTAACCCCCCTATTTGGGTCGTATCCTTTTTTTCTATCTATAAATTTTTTAGTTTACTCTTCAAAAAGAAATTACAGAATCAGAATTACAATTGAACCACATATAGTTCAGACTTATACACCCCTTGTTTTGCAAGATAATCAGCCAACCCATTTGCTGACCTCCTTTCCCATTGGATGATAATTGTCATATCTCTTTTTAACCACTTAAATCTTTTCATTGACTCCATGTATTTCCAAGTCACTGTTTCCGGTTCTTCCAGCCATCCCACTATCAATTTAGGATCACTTTCAATTTGCAATCTGTCACAGTTTAGGTCTCTAGCAACTTGTAACCCTTGCAGAACAGCTTGAAACTCAACATACACCAAATCCCCTACACCAATGGGACCAGAAAAAACAACAAGAATGTCTCCTTCAGTATTTCTGAACACTCCTATACCAGCTGGCTCTAGGTTTCCAAGACTGCTTCGATCAAAATTTAGCTTGATTAAAACCTTCTTCTGGGGACTCCAATCTACAACCGGTTTGTCCCTCACAGCAGAACTTCTAGCTACCGCTTCCCAATTTCTCCATATATCATCAAAGGAGAAGTCTGAAAATAGGTCTGAAGATTTTGTCCAATGTGTAGCTCTATTAACTACAAATTCCCCACACTGCCTCCTCACTTTTCTTTATCTTTAAAAAGCTATTCCTTTCATCCTACACCATCCAAAGCAGTGCAGCCCGAGCAGATCTCCACATAAGTTTACCTCTTCTTTTCAGCCAACTGAAGATCATAGGGTCAAAAAGGTTACTTATCTGCAAGGGCACATTCTACCTGTTACCAAAAAAACCAAAGATCTTTTCCCAAATACCTACAATAAAAAAGCAGGAGATTAAAAGGAGATAACAGCTTTCTCCATTTGCTGTGCAATGGGTACACCAATGTGGGGAGATACACATTTATTGGAGCCAGCCTAATACTGCTTGCCCACAACTCCAAAATAACCCTGCAATACCTAATACCCAGACTAGATTAACACCCAACGGGTATTCACCCCACATCAGTCTTATCTTTTCAATCCATGGGCCAAAGAATCAGCAAGAGAGTAGACTGAGGAATCCAGTAATATTCAGCTCCCAGCAATATGAGTGAGGTGACTTGTTTCCCTAATTGGATGTCTGACATTCCAAGGTCCTACCATTTTCCCTTTCAACCAACAGATGATAGTCTTGGATTCTACTACAAGCAAGCCCTGGAAGGCTGAAGAACTACAGTTTCAAGCCTTGAAACTACTTCTACAAGTTCTGCTCTTATAGAGTTTCCAGCTCTAATTGGTACCAATAAAACCAATGGAAAGCTCCCATCATTGTCCTGCCAGACTATGTCATTAGCAAAGTCAATATTCACCAGGATTTCCAAGGCTACAGCCATCAAAACTAATTTAATCCTATGGTGAGGGTAAATCCAAACTGTGTCAACACCAGACAATGTGCTTTTAGCAAAATTTAATATTCGATTTTAATATGCCCCTAAAACATTTTATCATAAATTTAAGAAAAGATGAAACCTATTACCATGGACTCCACCCAAAATATTGGTAGTATGCAAACTAAAAGTCAAACTACAGAATGCCCTTGCTCCCAGTATGAAACCCATTAATCAAAAGAAGCTTTCTTCTTAAAATAATCATGATATAATTTCACCGAGAGGAGTAACAGAACAAAGTAAGAAATTAGCAAAGAAGAGGGAACTCCACATTCAATTTCTCAAATATGGACCAATCAAGACCTCTTCCCACAGCTGGATGGATATAGTCACAGTTTAAATTTTCGGATAGATAGTGATGACTTTAATTAGAACATTTAAGATGCTATGATCAAAGTTGTCCTAATTTAGATGTACCATAAAAACCAGCTCCTTTTTTATTGATAATAGAAACTTATTGATTAAAATAAAGAATGAAAAGGATTTCCAGCATCCCCAATTTATTGACTGATGTCACCTACCCTTTGTTAACTGTATGCCCCTTTTATATTGTACAATTTGTGTTATATTACAAGTGCCCACCTGTTCTCAAATAAATTTCTTCTATTAACCCCATGTTTTGTCATTTCTTTATCAGTAAACATGTATTTTATTAAAATTCAGATTGTAAGCAGTTTATACAACTTGGTGATGGGACTGTTGATCCCCTTTAATCACTCTATGCTTTCCCTCATTACAGTGCAGCCCAAAATAATTGCTGTCTTAATGCCCCCTGTTTTGCTAAACCATTAGCTAGCCCATTTACAATTCTTCGGACCCATTTAAATTCAGCCTCAACCTCCTTTGCAATAATCTCCACTTCCCTAATCACATGTTTGAACGTCCATGGGGTATGGCTGCTGTTTGCTGCCCATGAAATTACCACTTTTGAGTCCCCTTCCACTTCAACATGTCTGCACCCTAGCTGTTTGGCTAGCTTTAACCCTTGTAGTAATGCCAGTAGTTCAGCCTTCAGCGAGTTTCCGGTGCCAATCAGTCCTGAGAACATACCCAATATCCTCCTTTCAGAGTTTCTTAATACTCCTCTTCCTGAGATGCCCGGATTTCCAAAGGAGCACCCATCAAAATTCAGCTTTACTTTATTGCCTTCTGGTGGTTTCCACTCTAGCCTTACTTTATCTCTTACTCTCGAAGACTGCGCTACTTCGGACCATGTTCTTAGAATGTCTGTGACTGAGAAGACTTGAAAGCTATCCAAGGGTTTTACCCAATGGGCTACTTTCACCTTGATACTATCAATCACCATGTTCGATTTCTCAAGAATTCATGGTTGAAAAGTTCTGCCACATCTTGAGGGGGAACCCACCTGCAGCCAAAGAGAGTACAAAAGAATTCCGAAATTCAATGCACAAAAGAACATGATATCATTAAATGAGAAAGGGTCTCACCACTTTCCTTACACAATGAACACACATGAGGAGAAAGGCAAATATATGGCCTTCTTTTCTGCAACATATCACAAGTGTTTACCTTACCAAGGAATATTTCCTAGCAAAAGGCTTGGATCTTCAGGGGTATAGGCTTGCACCAAATTTCTTTCACAGGGAAAACCCCACCAAGAGGGTTAGGGGAAGCAAGTACTTTGAAGAAAGAGGAGCAAGAAAAATAGGCCGTTTGGAGAGCCTACTCAAATTCTAGAGTCTTCCAATGAAGGGTCCAAGTGGATTTTCCCTAGGAGGTCCAGCAATCGGATTAAAGACTCACACTCATTTTCCCTTAGTCCCCTTCTAAAGCCCAAATTCCAGTTCACACCAATTGGACACGGTGTTCCCAACATGGATATAGCTTCCCCCTTGAGGTTAGTGTGTTCCTTAAAAGGATGTTCCCAATTCCTAAATCCCCTTGTTCCTTAGGTTTGCTAACTTGTTCCCACTTGATCAATTGGTCCTTCCTTTCCTCTCCTGGGTCCCAAAGGAAATCTCTCATATACTTCTCCAAGCACCTTGCTACCTTAGAAGGGATTCTAAAGGTTGAAAGGAAATAGGTGGGGACGTTTTCCAGAGTAGTTCTAATCAAGATTATTCTTCCACCCAAAGAAATATAATTCCTTTTCCAAAGGGCTAACTTCCTATCGCACCCTAAGATTTCCGCAAATCCTATTAGTTCTCCTTCCTCTAAATTGACCCCCACAATTCCACTTTTGGTCCAATTTATCCTCAACCCTGTTACTCCCACAAAATTATTCAGCAGCATCCTCAAATTTTTCACCACTTCCTCATTGTTTCCTTCACAAAAAATATGGTGTCATCTGCAAATTGGAGATGGGTAACAATCACTCGATTTCTACCTACCCTCCAACCTCTGATAAGGCCTTGAGCATCAGCTTTTGCCACCATTCTGCTTAACACTTCTGCCACTAGGGTAAACAAGAATGGGGATAGGGGTAACCTTGCCTAATTCCTCTCCTGGGCGGGAAGAAATCCTTTGTTGTACCATTGATTAAGATTGAGTAATGAACTGAACTTAAACATCCTTTGATCCAAGCCCTCCATCTAGCTCCAAATCCCAGCCTTTCTAATACTATTAGAAGGACTTCCCAATTAACCAGGTCATAGGCTTTTCCTAGATCTACCTTACAAACCAGCCCCTTTTCTTTACCCTTTCTTCTTTCAATGACATTCATTAGCCACTAGCCACCAAGATTTGATCCACAATCTGCCTTCCTTCTACAAAAGCACCTTGGAAAGGAGAGATGATCGAGGGTAACACCTTTTTTAGTCTTTCTGCTAAGACCTTTGACTGAATTTTGTAAACACTCCCAATGAGGCTTATCGGTCTAAAGTCTTTAGGAGTTTAGGCCTCCCTCTTCTTTGGAATCAAAGTGATAAATGTGGCATTTGCTCCTAAGGATACCTCTCCTTTGGAGAAGAATTCGTTAAAGACTTCCAATATGTCTGATTTCACCATATCCCAACACTCTTGTAATCCCCCGACTTTCTCTTACCACTTGTCCCTCCTCCACACTAAGGATTAAGTTCTTTCTCCTTCCAATTGCAAGAGAGTGAAAAAACTTAGTGTTTCCATCCCCCTCTACAAGCCATTAAGTGGCTGATATATGAATCCAGTTGAAACTGATAACTAAGTCCCTTGCCAACATTTTTCTCGCTCTCATACTGTTTCTGTGCTGTCATGGGATAGAACATCATGTCCAAGCCAACAGATTACCACTTTGGAATCCCCTTCAACTACCAAGTTACTATAGTCAGAAGATTTGGCAGCTTTCAAACATTGTAACACCACAGCTATGTTACCATTGGTCCCTAAAACTTCCATAAATGGATGCGGGCCTGTGTTTCCTCTACTACAGCCATAAAGATATAGTTTAATCAAGTTTAAACCCAATGGCTTCCGTTTAGAAACAACCCTTTCTCTGGCTGAAGATGAATGAGCTATCCAATACCATCCTTTTGAAATGTCTCTAAATGAAAATGGATAGAAAAATCTCATCATCATAATCCAATAAACAACCCTCACTGTGATGGATCCATTGATTGAACTCCTCAGTATTTCTTGATCTTTAAAGAGTATTATTCCTCTCTTCCCACAAAGTTCAAAGTATGGCTGCCCTGTACATCTCCACATGATTCTACCACTTTTCCAAGGTAGACAAAAGAAGAATAGAAGATGCCACTCAAATCAGATGGAGTTCACCTGCACACAAAAAAGACCATAAAACCATAACCAAATTCCAGTGACAAAGGGATAGGATATTAGCAATCTCTACTTTTTTTATAATAAGAAGTTTCTCCACTATGCTTTGCAAAAAAAAAAAGAAAAGAAAAAAGACAACTAACACGTATAGATTTTCTAGTGAAATATTTCTCAACAAAACACCCTCCCTTTTGGTGGCACTGGCCCACTCCAAATCTCTTTCCTCCTTGGGGGTCTAGCATCATTCATTAGCAATCATGATCTCATCAAGAATCCCCTTATCTTACACAAAGGCAAGCCAAGAAAACAAGATGGCCAAAAAAGCTTACAACCAATCAACTGGCATTATAAAAGAGGTTACCAATCAGGTGGTATTCATCAAAATTATATACTACTCTAAATGTGACAAAAGGATAAATCTCTTAAACTACCCGTACTGTTCACGAAATTGACAAACTGTACCCTTACTGTTTAGATATTGTCTTGTGGTACCCTTAAGTTTTCGGACAATTGACATTGTCGTTAAGTGCTAATAGAAGAAAACGAAATGTCGAATTTATCCTCCACTATTCCTCAAATTTCATCCCCTATTTCACCGTCCACCTCTACTCTCTCTCCATTCTCAGACCTCCCCCTCCGCATCTGGTCTCTCTCTCCTTCTTTCTCCGTTCTCAGACCTCCCCTCCGCCTCTGAAATAATTGTGGGGATCCTTGTGGATCGAGCTGCAATGAATAATCCCCAGATGTCAGATCGTCTGGGGACTTCAAAGATCAACCTCACGCTGCTTTCCAGCAAATATGAGCCTCTACTAATTTGGTGGGATCGCCGGCGATGAATACAGCAAGCACACACTCTCCAATGTTTCATACAGAAGAAGCGACGACACTGGTATCATGGAATGCCCTCCTCGTCCGGTGGAATGCCTGAAGAGCTCTGCAAGATTCTGTCCATCCTCAAGCTGCTTTCCAGCAAAAAATAAGCCTCTTGTCGTCATCTGTATCCTAGTGCGTGGAGGGTCCGCCGCTGCTGCAACTTGCTGCAGCAGCGGTGATGAAACAGTGGCGAGAGGGAATGGGGGAGAGAGAGAACGAAGGGGACGAAGGGGAGAGAGAACAAAGAGGACAAAGAGAGAAAGGGAGGGAGGGAGCCCTTCGCCAGTGGTTGTCGTCACCTGCGATGACTGTGCCGAGAGGGAGAAAGAACAAAGGGAGACTGCTCAGCGCAGGCAACGAGCCCTTCGTTCTCCCTCCCTCTCGGCACAACTGTTGCAGGCGACGGCAGCCACCAGCGAATGGCTCCCTCCCTCTCTTTATCTCTTCCTCCCCTTCGTTCTCTCTCTCTCCCCCCGCGGCGGACCCCTCCACGCACTTGGGTACAGACGGCTAGGTTCCTTCCCCGATCTCTCTCCTCTTCCCTCTCTCTTTCCTCTTCTTCTCTTTCTCCTTCTTCCTCTCCTTCTCCTTCCTCCATCTTCATCTATGTTCATCGTCTTCTTGACGGTGAATAGAGAACTACCACCAGCAACATCATCTTCCAAGAATGTCCGTTGCAGAGAGGAGGCCAGTTCTAGGTTGGCGAGAAGGAAAGAGGGTCAACTCTAGCACCGGCAACCGTGTGGCTGCCGTTGCCTGCGACGACAATACCAAAATCACTGCCACCGCTGCAACTTTCAACAACAGCGATAAACAATAAAGGTATTTTAGGGATTTTAAAATAACTACCACTCACGTGATGTCACATGTGAACGGAGTGTAACGGAGTGTAATGGAGTGTAACGGAAAATTAACGACAAGGGAGGTTTTAGACAATTGTTAGAAAACTTAAGGGTACCGCAAGACAATATCTAAATAGTAAGGGTACAATTTATCAATTTCGTGAACAGTAGGGATAGTTTAAGAGATTCACCAAAAAAAAAACATACTAAGGCAATATTCTATTTGTAAGAAAGCTAACACAATTAATCAAGGACCCTACCCCTTTACTTATGCCCTTCACTATGTTACAAGACATAATCGTCCAAGAAAAGCAATTCATTACTTGTTATTGAATGGAAGATAAGACCTACCATATGGTCACCTACAGTTTATGGCTTAGTTCTTTGTAGCAACCTTTAAACAAGTCCACTTCTAAAGATTCAGAATCTGAAGGTCTCTAAATCGTAGACCCAACCTAATTTATGAATTTGCCATTATTAGATACTACTTGCTTGGCTTTAAATATTGCAATTTCATAGTATTCAAAAATTTACAAGCTGAATGATAAGATTTAGTCAAACAGTGGCTCTCAGAATGGAAACAAAGAAGAACGCCTTGATGTGGGAAAGTTATGTTCCAGGACCAATAATAGGAAACAGATGTTTAGTGAAACTCAGTTTCTAAGGTCTCCTTTGACTTGAAACCTTAAAATCTAAATGGTTTCTTTCTTTGATAGAAGAAAGATCAGCTTATTTCCACAGTGAAATGAAAGAAAAAGAAAGGAAACAAAAGTAAAATAATCACTATAAGGTCAGCAGAAATACATGCATAACAAAATAATTAACAATATAGAAGGATGTGCTTACCCATCAGGTGGGGCATTAGCAATAGACAACTTCACAGGAAATAGTGGATGCACCACTGTGACCCAAAAACTACATGTGGCAAAAGAAGGCATTATTAGAAACAGGAAAGAAACTACCTATCCCTAAGATAAGAGAAAAGAGAAACCAATAAACATGGTATAACAATTCATACTAAACAAATGTAGGAAGATTCTCAGGCAATATCAGATTGGATATCATTAAGAGTAGATGGTCATTGGATTATTAGACATTTTCTGGGAGAAGAAAGGTCATAGGCATCCAATCTGAATACCTCATTCAGGTGGATCCCAGAATCTTCTCATAGACTCGTTGACACTCCAGCAAGGGCAGAGGTTACTAGAGTGGAACTAGAATCAAGAATACCAAGACCAGGGGCTCTATACCCAGAGTTCTCCCTGTCCTTAGGTTGTTGTGACATTCCCTCTCCTCATTCTATACAATTAGGACTGATTAGGTGGTTTTTCCATCTTTTAATAGGTGGGCGCCTAGGCGACAAGGCGCCCTTTGAGGCTCGCCTCGCCTAATCGCCAAGCAGTTTTGTACTATGTATTATAAAATAATTTCTCATTCTTTATTTTTTGACATTATAGTTATAAAATAGGCACTATTAAACTAAAATATTCATTTTGTGTGTTTATATACTAATTTCTTTTTATTATTTTCTTATTTGTTAGGGTTTAATCAATACAAACATTGCTAAATGCTGTATTGAATCCTCAAAGACTTTAAAACCTGAACCAATAAGTAAGGAAGAACTTAAAATTTTGTCTAATCAACACATTTTCTACTACTACTACTTTTACTTTTCTTCTTTTCCTATAACAAAAATAAGGGTTCAGCCCCTATATTTTTTTTAGTTTTCTTTTTTCTTCTCATTAATATGTTGATTTTCTATACTTTAGCATGAACTCTATACTTTTTTCTTCTCTATACTCTACATAAAAAAATCCATCGCCTAGGCGACGCCTAGGTGCTCCACACCCACATAGACGACTAGATGACAAGGCACCCCCCTGTCGCCTAGCCTCACCTTGGTGCCTTGAAAACTATGATTGGTATTGCTACTCAAAAGAGGGGTATCTATAAATATTCAACCATTAAACAACAACGCAAGCACTTCAAAAATCTTAAAACCATGTAAAATTTAGGTGTCAAAAGTTAACGTAACTAATTTTCCTTATTAAAGTGAAGGGTTGTGAACAACATGAGGCATTGGGTGTCAAAATTTAGGGCTTGCAAAACTTAAGCCCAGTTATATCAACTTGCAACAAATCACTAACACTGAAATCACCATTGGGTTTTCTCGAGTTTGTGACTAGCAGTGGTGTTTGGGTTGCCATCCCAAAACCGAACCAGATCATAATTGTATAGCTTTAGGTTGGATTCTAGTATTTATATTATATAATTATATTATTTATTTACAACATATATTAAAAATTCAAAAAAAACGAAGAACCAAACCAGTCAAAAACCTAATCAAAAAAATCCAGTTAACCAATTGGTTTCGGTTCGGTTTTGGTTTTCCAAAATCCAGTGGCACTGGTTTGGTTTGAATAAGAAGTCCACGGTTCGGTTAACCGAACTGTGAGCACCCCTAATTATTCCAACTTTTTTTATTATGGTTTGGAAAAAAAGTTTATCAATTTGGATGTATTAATAAATTGAGCATTTCTACCAAACAATATAAGAAGTTTATTGTAGAATGTAGAGTGGCAAAATACAGAAAGATACCCATGGCGATAGTAAGAGTCAAGAAATTAAAAATACAAAAAGGTATGTCCTGAGAGATGACAGATAAGGATTTATGTGTCTGTGCTAAACAACAAATGGTAAGAAATTGATCGAGTTCACTAAACTGAGATTTGCCCAAACTTAGACACATTAGACAATTTTTTCCTCCACTATTATAAATTTGTAAGGCTCTATGGCTATAACACTTTTTTTTATCAATAACAGAAACTTTATTAAGAATTAAGAAGCTTTAAGTACAAAAAAGGGGGAGATAAAGAGTCTTATCTCCCCATCAGAAAATTACAAAGAAAGAAGATTAAAAAATAGCCCAAAAAATAGCCTCCCTATTCACCCCTTGCTTGGCCAACCCATCTGCAAAAGAATTAGCAGTCCTTTTCACCCAGTTGTATTGTATTTCAATGCCTCTACATAGCCATAAGAATTTTTTTCTTTTCATTATTGTAACTCCACAAGCCACTGTCCTCTTTCTTCAACCAGCTAATCACCACCTTTGAATCACCTTCCAAAATCAGCCGACTGATATTTAGTTCCCTTGCTCTTTGAAACCCTTCCAGAGCTGCAAGGATCTCAGCCCTAATAGAGTCTCCTTCTCCAATAGGGCCTGAGAACAGAGCAATAACAATCCCTTTCTCATTCCTGAAAACTCCCCCAATCCCAGAGGGCCCTGGATTCCTTATGCTACTGCCATCAAAATTCACTTTTATAAATCCGGAGGGAGGAGGGGACCACAAGGGACTAAGAGTCCTCTTACACAGAGTAGAGGTTGCTATCTCTTTCCAGTTTCTTAACAGGTCAGCAATAGGAAAGTCTTAAAACAGTTCCATAGTTTTTAGCCAGTGGGCAGCCCTTAAAAGTATTAGGTCTAATAGTTCTTCCAAGGATCTTTCCTTTTCTGGAAATATTCGAGAGTTTCTTTCCTCCCATAGTGACCAACACACGGCTGCCCTAATACTCCACATCATCTTCCCTCGCTTCTTAGGCCATCTGAAAAACGAAGGGGAGAACAAACCTTGGACACTCTCAGGAGGGTTCCAAGTACACCCAAAACGAGAAAGTCCCCACTCCCAAACAGTTTTAGTAACCTTACAAGAGACCAAAAGGTGGTAACCGGATTCCCCATCATCTTTACAGAGAACATCTATTAGGAAGTAAACAAGAATTGGGTCTCTTTTTCTGAAGTAAATCATTTGTATTTATTCTTTCCAGGAAAATTTCCCAACAAAAACACCCAACCCGAGGAGGAATGGGCTTGCTCCAAAATTCCTTAATCGGAAAAGACACACCATAAGGGAAAGATGACTTAGTTAAGGTTTCAAAAAACGAAGCACAAGAGAAGGTTCCTGAAGTAAAAGGGATCCAAATTTTGGTGTCTTCCCTATTAGGATCAAGGAAGATATTCTCAAGGATGGCTAGTAAAGGTAAGAGGCTGTCCAAGTTTGTATCCTTAATTGCCCTTCACAGGCCGAGGTTCCACCCAAAACCAGAAGTGGAGTCTAAAGGAACTAAAAAAGAAGAGATAGGTTCATTTTTCAAATYTGAYAGAGCATACAAGGAAGGAAACTGGTCCTTCAGAGGTGAAACCCCAACCCAAAGATGTTCCCAAAATTTTATTCGATTGCCAGAGTTAACATCGTACCTGATCCAAGGGGAGAAAACTAGAAGCAGATCATGGATGGATTTCCACAGAGAAGCAGTTGTAGTCGTTGCCACAATTCCAGAATCCCAGTCGTTGTCTTCCAGCCCATGTATGCTAGCCACGATCTTTGTCCACAATTTTTCCTTTTCCACAATGAACCTCCACAACCATTTTCCCAACAACGCCATATTCCTTTTCTTGATGTTTCCAATCCCAAGACCTCCTAGTTTTTTACATCTAATTACCACCTCCCATCTCACCCTATGATCTCTCTTCTCCTCTCCCAGCTCC